AATTTCCAAAATGAACTCAAAATACCAACTTTGCTTCTGATTCTGCGTATTTTGATTGTAAATTCATAGTCTTTATTCTAAATCCATGTAAACAATGCTTCAGATTTCTGATTCTGCTCGTAATTCGTTGTGTTAAATTTGGTGACTTAGCCGAATATTTGTTAGTTGAAGTTATTATGCTGAAGTTGACAATAAGAGGCCGTTAATCATTCGACTTGTCAAAAGCTGAAGTTGACAATAAGAGGCCGTTAATCATTCGACTTGTCAAAAGCTTGCAGGGTGGAAACAAGATTCTTTTTTTATTTTCAAAATGCACTCAAAATACCAACTTTGGTTCGGATTCCGCGTATTTTGATTGTAAATTCGTAATCTTTATTCCAAATCCATGTAAACAATGCTTCAGATTTCTGATTCTGCTCGTAATTCATTTGTAACGCTCGTTTAATAATATTCAAACTCGTGAAAAAACATTTGCCAACAATTCATAACTTATTAATCTCATTGTACTCAAGACTTGAATTTAAATTTATCCAAATAACAGGTTTTCGTTCGGGATTTCGTCCCTAGTGCACTAGCCTTCCTTATGAATGGCGAGCCAGACATAGTAAAAAACTTCTTACTCAAAACACTTCAGCTTCAAGGGTGGGAAAAAAGGATCGATAGGTTCAAGCTAGGTGAAGGTGCCATGCCAGCTAGCTTCAAAGTGCTTCACGATCCTGTTCGAAAAACGGACACAATTGTAGCCGATTTTGGGGAGAGCGCAATCGGGCGAGTGGCCCCGGTTGACTCGGGTTTTTGGTGGATTATTCTTTTACGCGCGTACACAAAGTCAACCGGAGACCATTCTTTGGCCGAGACTCCCGAGTGTCAAAAGGGGATGAGGCTTATTTTGGCCTTGTGTCTTTCGGAAGGGTTCGACACTTTTCCGACTTTGCTTTGTGCGGATGGTTGCTCGATGATTGATCGGAGGATGGTGAGATGACTTACAACTCTCGTTTTTTAATTTATTTATATAACATTGTTGTGGAGTGAAGCTTATTAATGAAGACAATTAGATATGTAGTTAATGGAAAATCTCCCTAGATTTGGGCTAGTTTCAAAAGGGAAAAAAAAAAAGGGAAAAAAGATGCTTACATTTTAGAAAATGCCCTTGAAGTCTCGTTGTCTTAAATTTAAGGGAACGGCGGTAATTATACAAATGTGGTGGTTTTTGAGATTTTTATGGCTTATGAAGGGTCAAGAGTCTAGGGCTGTTAAGCTGAGTCGAGCATTGACCTTATCGAGCAAGAGTGATTTTTTTTTTCTATCTTTCTCGAGATCGACTCGACAAAAGAAGACAACCGCTCGAGCTCGGCTCGAGATCGATTGAAATCAAAATGCTCGACAAATTGCTCGAGTTCGACTCGAATTTCAAGTAAAATTACCATTAAGTACATATATAAAATATTGTGATATTTATATATGAGGGGTATTTTTAGTAATTCACTATATATCTCGAGCCGCTCGCGAGCTGCTCAACCTTCCAAAACCTATGCTCGTGATCGACCCGATAACATGCTCGAGCCGCTTGAGCTCGGCTCGAGTTCAGTCAAACTCGAGCTCGAGCCAAGCTTTGACTCGAGCACTCGCGAGCTACTCGGTTCGTTTGCAGCCCTAAGTCAAGACATAAGGAGTAATCTATTCTAAATGGGATTTTCATAATTGTCAAAAAACATCTTTTCTTCTTTCGGTGTGTGTGTGTACTATGTGTTGTGATTTCAATTATGTTAGCAAAGATGAGTTTTTTTTTCGGAGGTGTTCAAACTTCAAAGCTAAAATTTACTGTTTGCTTCTTTCTTTTTTCCGTTTTCTTTCAAAATAAAAAAATCCCATTCGGCAGGGCATATACGGCTACCCGATCGAGATCCAAGCCCTCTTCTTCATGGCCCTCCGTTCAGCCCTCGTGATGCTCAAACACGACACGGAAGGCAAAGAGTTCATCGAGAGAATCGTTAAGCGGCTTCACGCCCTTAGCTACCACATGCGAAGCTACTTCTGGCTCGATTTCCAGCAGTTGAACGATATTTACCGTTACAAAACAGAGGAATATTCTCACACGGCAGTCAACAAGTTCAACGTCATCCCTGACTCTATTCCCGAGTGGGTTTTCGACTTTATGCCCACTAAAGGCGGTTACTTTATTGGCAATGTAAGCCCGGCCCGAATGGATTTTCGATGGTTTGCTTTGGGCAATTGTGTAGCTATTTTATCGTCTTTAGCCACGCCAGAGCAGGCCTCAGCTATAATGGACCTTATTGAGGAGAGATGGGAGGAATTAGTTGGGGAAATGCCTTTGAAGATTTGTTATCCGGCGATTGAGAGTCACGAGTGGCGGATCGTGACTGGTTGCGACCCAAAGAACACGAGGTGGAGTTATCACAATGGGGGTTCTTGGCCAGGTTTTGTTTACCTTTTTATCTTTTTGTTGCTATTTTCTTTAGAGTGATGCTCGTTTTTTTTTTTTTTTTTATATTTTGTTTCATTCTACGAATTCAAGATATGAAGTGGGATTTTCATGATTTTGAAAAATAGTTATGTTTTTTTCTTTTATGGGTTAACTTGACCAATAAACTCAAAGATAGCATTTTTAATTTTTTCTTGAGAAATGCTATAGGTACATAATAATAATATTGTACATAGATGTGTATATAACACTCACATTAAGTGGGTCCTACCAAAAATAAAAAATTAAGTGGACCCCACTCCATGTGAGTGTTATATGCACTCTTGTAGCATTTTTCTTTTTTCTTTTACTCAATTAGCTTGAAGCACCTTGAAGCTATCGGGATAATATCTTTAGAAAATGTTAGGATATAAGGGAATTGCTTGTTCGAAAAATCACATCCTACATATATTATTATCATCATTTATGCTGCAAAATCAAATATATAGCATTAAACATTAAACTATATTAGAGTGATGCTCGTTTTTTTTTCTCTATATTTTGTTTCGTTTTACGAATTCAAGATATGAAGTGGGATTTTCGTGATTTTGAAAAAGTTATGTTTTTTTTTTTTTCTCTATATTCTGTTCGTTTTACGAATTCAAGTGGGATTTTCGTAATTTTTGAATAGTTTTTTCTTTTTTCTTTTTTTATATATGGGATAACTAATACCAATAAACTCAAAGATAGCATTTTTAATTTTTTTTCTTTTACTCAATTACAATAATAAATGGTTACTTGTCTTGAATCCGTTCTCGGTTGAAAAGGATATATGTATGATGTATCGGGGCAATATCTTTAGTAAAATGTTAGGATATAAAGGAAATCGCTTGTTCGAAAAATCCCATCCTATGTATATTATAATCATCATTTTTTAATCCAAATCTATCGGCTTACATCTTGCTTTCATTCATCATATGTGTACAGTGCTTTTATGGATGCTAACAGCCGCTTGCATCAAAACTGGGCGCCCACAAATTGCGAGACGGGCAATCGATCTTGCTGAGAGCCGCTTGCTGAAGGACAGCTGGCCCGAATATTATGATGGGAAATTAGGAAGATTTATCGGCAAACAAGCTAGAAAATACCAAACATGGTCCATTGCTGGTTATCTAGTTGCGAAAATGATGTTAGAAGACCCTTCACACTTGGGAATGATTTCGCTCGAAGAAGACAAGCAAATGAAGCCCGTTATCAAGAGATCCTCTTCGTGGACTTGTTGAGAAGTCGCAAGTAAAAGTCAAAAAAGCTCCGCAAATACGAGGATTGTAGGAAGAGATTTGAGGTGAGACGCGATTATTTTTTTACGTTAAAAGAAAAAGGTAGTCGATTCTTTTGGCGGGTTCTCGCTCGATTGTTGTAGGTGTGTGAGGATATAAAAGCTTTGGTCTTGTGTACATTAGTGTGTGTCCAGCAAGATTATCCATCCTTTTTTTTTTCTGGGTCCTTTTTAACCTTTTTGTCTTGTTATTGTTAAAATAAGAATGACTCTTGTTGATTTGTTTCTTGATTCTTGCAAGGAAACTTTGTGGGTTTGAAGCTTTTGTTGTTTGTTTTTATGTTTGAGAGATAGATGACTTGTGTAGGCTATATTACTTTATTGTGAAGAATATGTCTCAAAACATCATGCTTACATAATGATGTAATAATTTGTTTTGAAGTGCTCTATTCTAAGTAGTGTTGGGGCAGATTTGACCTTAAGATTCAAATTCAAGTTCTTACATAAATTTTTTTTGAGTTTTTCGTGTAGGATTGCCTAATATAGTTTACCAAACCAGTGTCTAGCTGGTAGAATATTGCATTGAGGCAAACAATTTGCTTGGTAATTAGTTACAAAATTAGAACCCAAATTGTAATTTTTAGTATTAGAAAAGACAATGATCTTTTAGTTTTTGGGTTTTGAAATCTAAGGGATGTGAAAAGGGATTTCAAATGAATACACTTTGGACATGTGTCAATATATTAAATGGTAGATGCTCCATAAGAAAACAATTCGATGGTTTCATAGAATTTTTGTAAGCTGATAATAGTGAATCTGATTCTTGAGATGCATACTAGCGAACTGCGTGATCGTTATAAATTTACAATGTTTGGATAAAAGGATGAATTTTGAAGGATTGTGTGTGAAGAGCCATCTAAAACTACTTAATCATCCAAACATGTTTGATGAATCTAGAATCTATAGAACCAAATTCCTCCATATAAAGACACCGATAAAACCTTTTAAATATTGTTTGGATGGAGATGGGCTAAAAAGTTGGAGTGATTTTTCTTTTTAAAGAAGCTTTTTTGTGATTCCATTACTTAATTAATTTACCTATTTTTATACACAGTTTGGACGGTGAAGAGTGGGCCAAATCCTAGATGTGTCATAAGATAGTGGAGAAGAATTAGAAGATTACACATTAATGGATTTCGAGCTATTAGATCGAAAGTGTGTTGATCTAACAGTTCAAAATCACGCTGATAGATACGAATTTTTCGAGGGTTTGTCTATGCATATATCTAAAAAACAATCTTTTGTATTGCACACTTTTCTTTTCTTTTTTATTTGAGTAACTATCTTAAATAGCAAAGCTCATTGTCACTTCTAAAGTACTCAAACTAAGGAACATTTAATTTGACAAATGGACCATTTTATTTGCATTGGAAAAATGAAAATAATAATAATAATAATAATAATAATAATAATAAATCAAACAAGACAACAAGAAATGAGGATGAAATTAGGTGGGGAAAGAGTGGGGTTTTAGTGTAAGGATGAGCTGGTGTTTGTTGTTGTTGCATATATTCATATTTAGATGCTTTGGTCTTAACTCTTAAGTGAGCTGTACTAGCATTTGCTTTTTGCCTTCAAGAGAAAATTCTCTTATTTTATTTATTAATTAATTTATCAATTTATTTATTTATTTTGGATGAAATTTTATCTGTCCACTCAGCTTATAATTTGTCCTGGTTCACTTCACAGCACAGTCAATAATTTCCCTCTCTTTCTGTGGCTCTGCTTCATATCACTTTCTCTTATTGGTCCCTGCTATCAGTTCTGCTCTCTGTTGCCTTCTTAAAGGGGCTCTTGAAATTAACTATGTATTTATTGCTCAAATTTTAGGTTTCAATTTTTTAAACAAAATAAATACGTCACCTATATTAATTATCGGGGAAAATAACAAATTTGATCCCATGTGATTAATTGTATGTGTTTCAAGTGTACAAATATGGTTACTAGATTTTTTTTTTTCTTTTTTTCTTTTACATAACAAGTCCATGGTTTATGGTTAGTTTTAAACATTAAATAAATAATATTACCAATTTGAAGGCACATGAATGGTTTGATTTTAGTCAAGACATTGAACTTCATTGCAAAATCAAATATATAAAAAATTGCAATATTAGTCTAATAAGATTAGTTGTGCTGCAAATTTGATCCTATGAGATTGACTTTGTTGCAAGTGATCTCATTAAACTTTAACTATAATCTTTCAACTTTGTTGCACTAATTGTTCAATATTCTTCGTTTTTTTCAAACACCATCAAACTGTATTTACAACAATGAGATTTATCCTGCAACAACAAACAAATATTAACAACATTATATTAAATTTATCCCTAGACACCATAAAAAAAAATGATAACAAATTAGCAAAGCTACATAGCAATTTAGTTTATTGATTAAGCTAAATCTCAATAGTTGATCTTATAACAATTATGTTTCTTTTTTCTTTGTGCAATTTCTAATGCCTAAAGATGAGTAGGAAACTTGAGTAGCGTCACGCTAATCGTCATTGACTACTTTCTTGCACAATATAATTGTATTATTAAATTATTGAGAAATGTT